CTTACCTCAATAAACATTCGCGAAGGAAAAAACACTCTGCCGAAACCTTGTCATTTCTTTGATCTGCCGCTAGCCCAAGAGTCGGGGCTAGTCAAGACCGGTTTCTCACCAGCCAAACTGTTTTTTTTCTGCGCGCACCTTAATTAATGAATTGAAACGGTGACCAAAACTGAGCCCACAAGCATAATATGGCGTCTACCGTTCAACTTTCGATTCAACTTGCTCTTTCCGAAATCATTCAAAGTCTCTTTTCTGATAAGTTTAAATTATCCTCGCATCAAGAGAAAGGAATATCAGCCTTTATTTGTGGAGAAGACACGTTTGTRYCTTTACCAACAGGTCACGGAAAATCGCTCATATATCAGCTCGTCATTCCATTGGCAAATAAGCTCAAGTTGTCGACAACATCATCAGAATTCAAGAGAGTGTTTCCTACGAAACCTATACTTTTATTCGTATCACCCTTACAAGCACTTGTGACCGATCAAATTAAGTCTTGCGAGAGCTTGGCGCTCTCGTGCATAAAACTCGAGGACATTAAAGATCAACGGATTAATGCGGAGCTCGTTTTCACAAGTCCAGAGATATTACAGCAAAACTTGACTGTTATTCGACGTGAACACAATCGTTTCATTGGAGTGGTAGCGGACGAATCGCATTGCATTGTGTTGTAAATTGGTAAGAAATTTACGAATTTGATCAATTGAATTACCCTGTGAACAGAGTGTTTTATTTACCTTGTACCTCACTAAAAATGCCATGTAAACATGAAACACAGCTCAAAATTAAACCGTAACACAAATAAACACACTTGGAATAGATTTTAATGATATTCATGATACATGAATTTTCAAATGATCAATTTTCTAGTGTTACTAACATTTTCATGATACAAGAGTTTATGTGAGCTTAGTATTTATCTAATCATTCATCTCTTTAGGGGGACCACAACAAACCCAGGTGCAAACCCATTCAGAATTGCATATTCAGAAGTAGGAAACATACGTGCTGCAGTAAGAGCACCTATTCTCTGCCTGACTGCCACTGCATGCCTGCAAACAAGACGAAAGATAATGAAGCTACTTCACATGGTTAACACAAAATTGATCTATCTTTCGCCTGAAAAGGAAAATGTCAAATTTTGTATTGAGCAAGTGGCAAAAGATACACAACTTGAGGACAATTTTGCCTGGCTGATTAAATATTTTATTGAGGCTGGTGATGATGCTACAAAAACTGTTATATTCTGTTCATCCTTAAGGAGTGTGGTGATATTTGTGAGATTTTTTATGAGCAATTACCTGACACATCTAACATTGGCATGTTTCATGCTAAAACACCTCAAAGACTTAAAGAAAATGTCCTTCAAGAATTTATAAAAACTGATAGCAAAATAAGGCTGGTTGTGGCAACCAGTGCACTTGGTATGGGTGTAAACATCCCAGACATCAGAA